GAAAACGACCACGGCAAGTAGATCAATGACCAACGAATGACGTTGGACTTCAGCAACCGTCATCGGTCAGCGGGGTGAAGCAGAAAGCCACGCCGCTAAAACTCAGCAGAGAGGACGCAGCGGAACGACGAACCTAGGGAAATAGATACAGCTTGCTGTGGCCTTATCAGCTAGTATTATCTCATTTTGCTTTTAGTCGTCCGTCCATCCGTTCGTCCATCTATCTATTCATCCATCCATCCACTCCTCTGGCAGCGTCCGACAGTTTCAGATAAGTACGCAGCTGGTGCGCATGGGAGGGAGCAGCAATAAGCCTGTCCCCTTGCCCCTCGAATGTATCGCACACTTGTCCCGGAAAAAATTCCGATAGCCCCTCGCAGAGACCCGGTTCAAAGTTCGGATGGGAAGTAGCTCCGATTAGGACTCCGAGAAGTGCCGCTCCCCAAAGAAGCGTCGGCGTCACAGAGAAGTCCGTCCTGAAATCTCGTGCGATGCCCGACCGATGGGGGATGCTCTCTACTAGCGCGTATAAGAGCTCCGGAAACTCGCGAAAACTCGGCGGGATCGATATGGAGTGACCATAGCATGGTAGAGGACTACGTACGACATCGGTAGCCGTGTCCGCGAGGGAACGGCAACAAGAAGTTACGGAATATTAAACGCGGCTCGCAGACCAATATGTTGTCCCGCTGTAAGGGCGTGTTGTACTCAGTCAGCTGACTGGGGAAGGCCAAACTGCATAATCAAGCATTTGAAAATCTCCATGGTGACCGCATGAACTCGATATCCGGAGCGGCTACTAATGAACGGCCGAGACAGAGGAACTCGAATGTCAGACGGATCTGGGCGCATGGGTAAAGCTCGCGCCAGCTGTGATTATTCCGAATTCCTCCGATTGGTATGTTTTCTGTCGAACACTATGAATGAGCGATACCAGGTCTCCGGGAACTGAGAGACACGGAATTCTGCTCGCTCGAAATTCACCAGGACCCACTCCCTCGGTCGAGCATCACGCCCATAGTCTCAGGCTGAACGAAGCTTCAGTCAGGAGCGTCCGCACCCAGCTCTCCATAAATTCAAAAATAAGAGCGTTGATTCTTGTGAGCGGACTCGACATCTGTCGGGACTTACGGGGCTGAAGCTTGCTGAAGTTCATTCGCGGGCTCTGAACCCATCTTCTCTCCGTAACACGCCATTGTACGAATGCGTATATATCTATGCATATATACAGCTGACGATACAGAAAAAATCGCATATCCGCGATTTCCAAGTGCACAAGCCTTCGCCCTCGACCTCCGAAAAGTCTTCGTCTTCATGTGCGCTGCTCTAGAAGGGCGTAAATCGGTCCACGAATAGCGCAGATATCGTCCATGATGAAGGCTCCGAGATCACGACGGGTTCGTGATTCGTACAAGGAGAACGAATGTGCTCTGCGGCACATTCCATCTCCTTGAGGCAGCGTGCAAGTTCCAACAAGAACAACTTCTCCTTCGTCAGTAAAAGTCTCCTCCACTCGTAGGAAGCGGTGGGACAGTTCCCTTCCCGATTGAGTAAATTATATGGATAGCAGCGGAAACATTATCAGGATAAACCTGTCGGAGAACTTTTCTGACAAGGGTTATCCTCCCACGGCTGCTCTGAATGCCCCGCCGCAAATGAAGATTTGCATCTTGGAAGAAATCCGAATCGATACGGGACATGCGGGGCATCAAATGCACTGCTACCGCTCATATTTTCAACGGCGGACGACAGGGGGCAGATATCTCTGTGTTTCGACACCGAGATTCAACAAGTTCGATCCCAACACGATCCGATGTGTCGCAGCGTCGGCGGTGATTCGTTCTTCACTGTGGGGATCTCCCTTTTCAACAACGCAATCCTCAAGCCAATCGGTCAGGAGCGCGTTGGAGCCCAACTTCAACAGAGATGGATTCAGTTGGGTTGGCCGTCCCCACCGACAGAAGCAGACACAGTCAAATTAAATTGTTGAGAACTACCGCCAACCAAGGCATCTGAGAATTTCAGGGCGCCGGAACCACATCAGCTCGGATCCACCCGCAAAGGCTGGAATCTTGTGACCTCATCGGTAACATCGGAACATGGGATGTTGAGCCGGAAAATGTATCCTAGAGTTTGGACGCAGCAAGTAACTCTGAGCTGAATACATTCAACTTTTTGGCGTACAGTCCCCAGTGCCACTCTTTCGCTAGTGTTCTCCAGTCGACAGTCATTCATTAAGTGTAATTTAGCTATTGAAGATAATTGGGACGATTCACACAGCGGCAGCCGCAACAGCAGCCTCAACGGCAGGATCAACGGAAACAGGCTGGCTTCGGTTAGATTCAAGTAGCCGGAACGGAAACCTATTAATAAGAATGTCGAAAGAACAATCGTTGAACACACTGCCCGACCCCCGTGTATGATCAACTTGGACCAGAAGCGCACGCCATCAGGGATCATATTTTCTTTATTCTTGGTGGGCATTCGCTTCACATTGACTTCTCGGTCGAGGACTTATTCCCGCACGAATGATGCTCAGCATCCGTCAGGTAGAATGAGCATCGCGAATGCTCCTATCAGATACTGGAATGTCTCGATGTCTCTGCGGTGGTAGTTGTCGCTCCTCGATATCGCTCCATTTCAGTGTACCTAAATATAATCCTCCGATGCGACAGGTCTCTAACGGACGCTCAAATGGTCATCCGAATTCGCGATTTGTCTGCATTCACCTAGATGAAATGGAGAGCGAATCAACCGCAACGGGGCATCGAACGCTCATGGAAACGGATCTGCTGTGTCCCGCGAGTCGAGACCATCTGTTCCTCTCGAAGCGATGTCTCTTCGGGAGAAAGCAGCTCCCGACGTCGTTTCATCGTTTCACGACGCATTTGATAATTGGACGACGGTGGCCTGGACCGTATTTTGGCTGAAACCGATAACCCTGGCGGTTTATGGCTGCAATGATCTTCGTCAAAGGGACTGACTTCTGGGGCAGAGATCATCTAGGGTGAGCAGGGGGGAGCGCATTCCATCGATAAGTTAGAAAACCCATCACTACGAGGCGAGTCAAGTTTTACACGCAATCACAGAAGCCCCCATGTCTCATCATTCGAAGGGTCGAAGCCTCCGCGCAAGTCTATCGCTCAAGCTCTGAGTTGGGCTCGGGACGAAGATCTTGATGCGCCAAAAAATAGAGATGAAGACAACCTTGACTCTTCGAATGGTACCGACGCAGCCTGTCCAGCGTATGGCTTGCTGTTTTCGCATGTGTTGTCTCTTTGTAGGGCTAGTATGGCAATCCGTGTTGATCTGCTGAAGGCCGTGGACCCCGTTTGCTGCTCCTATTGTCCCTACGTCAGTCGATGGTACACTCCTTACCTTTTGTCACATGCTCTCGCAGCGAGCCGTCGGTGATACCTTTATCCACGGGTACCAGAATTCTCGGAGCTTGGCGATCGTCAAAGATCGGGAAACCCAATTCGAACGTGTCCCCTTTCCGTCCAGCGGCGAATTAGGGCAACACATGCAGGAAGAGAGGCTCTCTCCGGCGCACGGAGCTCATCCTCATGATGATCTCTGCAGCGAAGTATCAGTCAATTGACTGTGTTTTCCTTGGAAAGACTCGGTGAGCTTCGGCCTTACATTTCCGTCGAAAGTCGCAGACGGTGATCATCGGCCAGATGCAAGGAGATCCTGGACGAATCATTGGTCGATCAGCCAGAGCAGCTCATTTGCCTGCCCACGATTCTTAGCCCCCCTCCCCGGACGCCGACTTCTCAACCACACAGAAACTACAGATTGGTGTTCCAAAACATTGTGAATTCCATCCTGAAGCCAAGTATTGGGACTTCGGAATAATATGCATTGAATGCCGGTGAACCACTGAAACGAGATTCTCATGGAGTGAGAAATCGGCATTATTTTATCGGCGAGAGCTCTTTCCGAAAAGAATACTATATTAAGCTGGGAAGACGATCCGAGATCCGCCTGTCTGCTCAATCAGAGCGTCGGCGGAGCAGTAGCCCGATTCTTCTCCATTCAAACTATCCCGTTCAGGGACTTAGGTCCTCCAGGCTGTCGCCCACTGTCCCCTCCCTTTTCTCGAGAACTAAGGAGAGGGAAGGCCCGAACTCGGCCCGAGTTAACGAACGAGTATTGCCCCAGATATCGGCAATCATGAAGAGTTCGAGTAAAGCCACGGCTGTTTATGCCATCCAGAAGCTGACACTGTCCCGTTACGCTCATCGTTTCCCGCTCATGGCCTCCCTCTCGATCTCGCTGGAGCCCTCTATTGCCCCCGAGGCTATCGTATCCTGGTCTCCGACTTATCGAGAGTCGACTTCGATGAGCGATGCAGACATGGATTCAGATCTCAAGACGTCGTGAGGTTCGGTGATCTATTCGCGGAACTTCCTTCTCATGCTTCCTGTTAGATCCTCCGCTTCTTCTGATCATCTCCGCTTCTCTGCATCGATTACTATTCTCGAATGCTCGGCGGCTCGCTCCCGTCGTCTTCCGCCCTCTTCTTCTTTCCACCGCCGCGGAGGTCTCACGGCCTCCAATCTCGTGATCGCGGAACTCCCATCGACTTTCTCGCACCCGTTGCCCGGAGTCTGAGTGTTCTCCCGCCCCAGGTTGACCCATTTTCCGGCCCTGGCACTCCCCATTGATTCCCTTCGATTCCAGGTTCCCCCCTACCATAATGACGCCCAATCCGCGACAGTTCGAAATCGTAGAAATGCTGCGCGTCTAGGCTGCGCGTCTATGCTGCACGTCTATGCTACGCGTCTATGTTGCGCGTCTATGCTGCGCCACGAGGCAGCCGTGGATTCGATCCTTTATTCCGACTCTTTCCTCCTGACGTAGGGTGAGCATTTCGCAGTATTCATCCGTACGAGAGCAGTTACGAACGGGCCGGAAGATGGCGCCGCGCGGGTTCCTGCGATTCAATCAGTCGAGACCGGCACGGGAAATGCATCCAATCCGAAATGGCGACTCCCTGTGAGACGATCAGGTGTTCTGCTCCGTCGCTTGCTGTGCTGGCACGGGAAAGACTGTGCCTATAGAACAAAGAAGACCGCATCGTGAGCCGAAAACATTAATTTAAGTCCATTTTCGAGCTTCTCGGTGCAGGATGGGGCTCTGCCGATGTCCCAAGAGGAAAGTCACCACACAGTTCTGCTATGAGCACCGGGTGAATGTGTGCGAGCATTGTATGGTAGAAGACCATCCTAACGTGAGTTTGTAAGCAGCTGTCATCCCTCCGTGAGAGGAATCAGAGCGGGAGGTGCTCTCAATTTTTTCCTCGAGGCGCTTGCAGGCTCCAGCTCTGATCGGCTTCTCTCGGAATCAGGCTAACGATGCGAGGAGTAGGAAGTTTTCTCAGAGCCATCAATTCGCGCCGGCTTATCTAGCCGGTCTCATGCTTTTACCACTAAGGAGGGTTTGAAGTCTGCCCAGATATCCTGGTTTCGACTGACCTCTTGCGTCGTAGACTGATTCTACACTCTGGCATTGTGCGATTGGGTTTCGGAATCGAATCCCCGGATTCTTTCGACATTGCCGGCTTATCAGTGAATAAGGGGAGATCCGTTCGCGGAATGATTCTATCCGATAGAGCTCTCATTCTTATCTTTTCCGCAGTGTATCGTACAAGGCTACCTCCAGTGGCTGAAGGATTCGGACTACGAACCGGTTTGCACACTCTGTAGGAAGGAGTTGGTGCATGCAGAATGCGTCCGTCTCTTGTGTTATCGTAAGTTGCTGATTAGAGTTTTTCCCGAGCATCCTCTGTCCAAAGCTCGCCTGCAGCTCAAGCAGAGATCAAGAGCTCATGTTCCATGTCAAGCTCGAGATCCGAGTCTGGACCGCAAGCTGTATTCCATAGCCGCTCAAGTCGTCCCGTGAGACGGGTACGATAATTATCCACCGCTTGGGACGGGCTACCTAACCTGACTGCTACCTTTGTCGTACAAAAGATGTCTTCCATTGGCCTTGTCTGGACGAGCATTTGCAACAGTTGCCTTCAACGACAGCTCCCGCCGGATTCACCTGCCCGACTTGCGGACACGAAGTTATTCCAAGGTGGGTTCCTGCGTCCTAAGCTCATCCTCTTCATGCACGAAATTCAATGATTTTCTTCCGGTACATCATTCGCGTGATCCGAACCTTCCATTATAGAGACAACGTAGCCTCGCCAGTGGCGGCGGTCATCCGGGAAAAACTCCGCAGGGCTCAATGGGCGGCAGCTGATCGCGGGAGGGACGGAAACTTCCAACAGACAGGATCGCTCGGTGTAAGCATTCCGGGAACTGCAAAGCTAAACTCATGGCGCATTGAGGGCTTTCTGAGCGGCTCATCGACATTGTATTGAGTGATTCTGATTCCAGAGGAGTCTGAGCTCGATGGCGTCGAGCTGGTCCGCACCGAACCCGATGCTCAACGACTCTTCAGTTTCGTTCGCAGATGATAGCTCTAACAATAGTGAGTATCTCAGCATGATGTACATGATGGCCAACAAGTTCCTAAATGCGGCATCCGGGTATCGCGTTGTGTTCTCTTCTGCAGCCATGTCGCGGAATAGCTCCGTCAAACAGTACACAGCGTCGAATGTGTACGGCGAAACGTCATCCGCTCGGAGTTTCGTCTCTCAGCCTTTGCTCAGGACAGATGAGGAGGACAAGTACAAACGAAAATCGGTTGTCGAACTGGCCCATAGGTGGGTGTACTTCCAATATGTAGAGACTGACGAGCTGCATCCATGAGGAATTCTAGAAAAAAATCGCGATCTTCTCAATTCGCCATTGTCACGTGTCCGTCGTTTGATTTCAGGTGGTTTCAATCAAAAATGCTGCTGGGTACCCGTCGCCGCGATCCCACCCGGCGATGGGCGGCAATCACAATCGGCATTTTGATATTTTTTTTCGTGGTTGTTTATGCCATGTCGCGAATCGGACGGTCATCCTCGGAAGTCAATCCATTCCTCGACCCGGAGTCGAATCCCAATCTCAATATGCAATAGCCCGACTCCTTCGTTCCTCGAGGAGCATCCGGATCAACTACATGGGGCATTCAGGTGCTCTTCTGAATGCTGCGTCTGAAGTCAGAAGAATACTTCTCGCGAGCGTGTCGCCAACGGATGACTCAGAGCTACAGGAGCAGTTGTTCCGTGTACATGAGGGGAGCTTTTAATTGCGGAAGTCCCGATGATTTGATACCATGCGTTGATCTAAACACTATATAATGTACATAAAATCTAGACAGATAGGAAACGTCGGGACTATTGGAAGTGAGTTCATAAAAGGTGATAGTGATGAATGAATTAATAATTCGTGCTCAAGAAACCGTTTCCATCGACCGAGAGGGTCGAAGAGGGGCTAGCGTTATTCTTTGAGAGAGAGCTATGCGATCAGGACTCTCGGATGGCTTTCACGTTCCCTTTATTAGGCTGCCAATTTTCCCGTCTGCGGGACCTAAGTAGAGCGCCGCTACCGCATGAATGAAGAGCTTGAAAGCTGAGAGCTCGCTCCCATTCCATGGAGAAGTCACTGTGAACGAACGCGGATATCCCAGGTCCGAGAGCCCCAGGCCCGAGCTGCGAGAGGAAGGATCGTGGAGCTTGTCCACCGTGTCCCGGATCGGCTGAGTAGAAGCTCTTTTTCTCCGGAAAAGGAAGCCACGAAGAATGAAAGTTTTGAATCTCGCCGAGCGGGTCGATTGAGAGAACAGCAGGTGGGAACACAGATATTTATTTCTTTCAATTTGTTTCTTGCAAGGTTTCCTATGAAAGCTCCATGTTGTGCTTTCATCTCCAAGTCGGCGGATTGGGTCCGGTCTCGAGCAAGGAAACGAATGAAAAGTAGGAGAGAGGATGAAAACATCACGCTCGCGGTGTAGTCCAAGGATAGGGCGCGAAGACCGTGGGGTAGTTTATGTCTCGTGACTGGCTGATAGGTTCATACACCTGGACCCTTGAAGATATGCTCCCGGAGAGGAATACTCTAATATTCGGAAGTCCGCTCCGTGGTCTGATCTTTTACAACATTCTGGATCATCTTCTGACAAGTACTCGGTTGAGGCAGAGCGATTCTCGATCAGTAAACTAGCCAGGATATAGCAGATCTACACAGCCACGCTGGCGTTTCCTCCAGGCAGGGAATCGCTGCACCGGAGTCGGCATCGACCGAAGGCTTTCTCATGGTCACAGTTCCCTCTGGGTAGATGCCCAAAGGATATCTCCCCGCTATCCGTGCCCCGACACCTGCCAGTTGCGGCCTAGGCCGTTGAAGCTTCTCGCGGCGGGCCGACAGAGAAATCGCCTCTATACCAAGATTCGTCTCTGCCTTGGTGATGGGGTCAGAATGGGGCCAAGACGAGCTCACTCCTACAGAGAAAATTTCCGGAGACGCCATCAGAGGATTATTCGTCCCATTTCCTTCTGAAGAGGGAGCCCTATTCGCTTGACCCGTCGGGAATGCTCGTCATCGAAAATCAACTCCGAGGCATCCTCCACAGGATTTGCAGCGTGTTTCGGAATCACGACAACCACGAGCACGACTGTACCGAGTGTCATATACGAGGTGTCGATAACAGTCATCACTCGATTCGGTCCGTAATCGGTGGGGTTAATATACTACTTCAGTCAGTAGTTTCAAGTTCCAAGGATACATTCCCTCACCGTGGAGAGAGAATTTCGCATGAGATCGGGAGAGGAGAAAAAAAACGAACTCTACTCACTATTCAACTCAGAAGGTCATCGGTGTTTATCAACTCCCGATTATCTCCAGTATGACTCATCAAGTGTCCATAACACCGAAACCGGAGCCAAAGAGTGAAGCAATCGTCAGTGTTTTTCTTCTCGCATCATTTTCAGACGTGGTGGATGAGTGACACCAAGCTCATCGGGGATACGACCGGAAGGACACCGATGCTGCCATCAGATGCATCAACCTCGGAGAGCCTTTTTTTCGTGGGATGACTATACGTTTGAAATTCTTTTGAAACATCCGATACTGATCACCACCGCTTACATGCGGCCCAAGATACCCCGAACATCTAGAACCGAAATCGAGTCAATGCTCTACTAGGGTGTTCAGATGACCACTCAATTTGTATTCGAAATCTCAATCATCAGCGATACTTGCTCAGTCTCTACATGTTCGGATACATTGCTGTCTAACACGTCGAATGTAAGTAGATCTGCTATTGCTGCATATCTAGCAGCCACAAACACGGGGCAGGGTCATGTCACTCGTTCAGAGATTCTTTCTCTCCCATGAAACTTCGTCAGATCAGATACGGTCAGCGATTTGCGAGAATCGTACCGATGCGTCGAATGTCTGAATCTAGATAGATGAAACACACAATATGATACATTGGGTCGGCATATGGGTATCCGAAAAGAACAGAATAAACTCGTCGTATTTACATAACTTCAAACAAAGTCAGACCGAGGTTGATCATACTTGTAGAGCACAACTCAGATCTGGGAACATAAGCAATTGGATTTCTACCTAAGACATACGAATAGATGTGACGACGGTCGACTACTAGCTCGATAGATCGCACAGCGTTAGCAGACAAATCTCTCACTTTCACCCTCCACCGAAGGCAGCGGGTCAATTTCTGGGTGGAAGTATCCTTCATTACACTTTCATTTTACCGGGCTTCGTAGGTAGTCAAGTCTCTCGTGCAAGAAGCGAGCCCCGCTTTGGAGCCCGACCATTCGTTGGGAATCATGATACACTTAGTGTTCACATGTGAATATACATAGTCGATTTCTATAAATCTGTACGAAGGCTAGGTGAAGAACCTTGGACTCGACGGCTGTAGCCATCCATCCACCGGGAAGGTGCTTCATGCACCATGAAGAGCGTCGAGCGCCACAAAATTAAGCGTGAGAGCCGGAATCTCCAAAAGGAAAACCTATCATATCACCGTCAATCGAAACCTGATTTTCGCAATACCGCTCGCCGCTCGACAACGAGCACCCTCCCTCCGGCCTTGCATTCGGGTTTTCCTAAGCAGGCGCCGGTCCGTCGAAGAGTCTTGAACACATCTTGACATGAGGCCCTCGTCCACGATCCTCCGTCACCAAACACCTGGCCTGTCGACTTGACTCTTTTGGATACCATTCGACCACCTCCCAACTTTCGATGCAGACGGCAACCCACGCCAGACTACCGGGGATGGGGGAAATTCCCATCGGAAGAAGTGTTTGACTTCGACACCGACCGATATCGACAAGTTTCGAGTCGAAACCCTCCAAGCGAGTATCGTTTACTACGATATCATTGCAAATGAAGAAAGCACAACGTAACGACAACATGTCTCGGATAAGTTCGATTCACAGCAGCCCAAACATCCATTGGCACTCGAAACACTATAGTATTGCACAACGTTCGTACACTGAGAGAATCAAGTAGGGGAGCCACTTCGTCGAAGGTTTGCGCAAGACGGTAAAACTGACCGATAACAGCGATGACGTATCCGCGCTCTCCGGTCGCTCATCGGAACGGACATCGACGTTGCAATTTTTCAAGGGGAACGATAATAATCAATAGTCGACACGTGGGTCCGAGCGGAGCGGGCCTACTGTCCTACATGTTCTCTCATGTTTCAAGGCAGTAAGCGGATCCTGACTCGGTAATCGGTCTCGTAGCCTGCCTGCCTTCCCCGCAAGGGTTTCCATGTTCCCTGTAGCTCACATTGTATAAGGTATACTGTATATGAAGTTTATATTATATTCGCATGTATACGGTTCTAAACCAACCGAGCTGAAGCTATCACCCTTTTCCTTCCAACCTTGTCTGAATAGCCTACGTAAGGTCAAATTGCCGTGTTCACGCTCCTTTCGTCGACACAGGCGTCCGATCGCTGAGATTGACGGTTCGAGACTTGAATCCATTCCAGTATTCAGAGTCCTCTCGGGAATCGTGTACTATCGAATGACTAGGGCCCAGTTGTATGTATCATCAAATGGGTCGTATTCATCGCAAGGCCTTTGCATGATGTTGTGTTCTATGGCGGCTAACTATGGCACAATCGTTAAGCCTTCCGTGTTCTCGGGAATCTCGGTATTCGCTCCACAGGGACGTCGGGTGAAATTATTGACGGACTAGCTGATCAGTTGACTGTCTCTTCGTCCCTGTCACGATTCCTTTCCTCGTGGTCACCTGCCCGAGGAGAAAGATGTCATTAGCCCGAAAACAGCCGACGCACGCGGATCGCTTCCTCGAAGTCGCGAGGACATTCCCGATCGAGAAGTATAAGGAGCAGAGGTCTTATAGTCGAAACCACGAACCGACGAGAAGATAGACGATAACAAAGCACCCGGGAAAGGAAAGAGTGAGAGAGAGAACCGACACGTTATCGACACCCAGGGAGACGATCAGGGCCAGAGACATGCTGGACGCGGCGAAGCATGCTGAGGGTCATCGATGTGAGCAGAACTTACCATGTTCACAACGAACATGAAATGCTTGTCAAGCCGAATCGTTCTGACGCAGACCCCTGGCTCGCTCGATAGATAGATTGATGGATTGCTCGACCGACTTACCGACCGACCGAGCAAGCGATTGGGCGAGCGAGCGAGCACTCCACCAGGCGACTGACTGACCAATCGATCGAGTCTTGTAACCAGCAAACCAGGTCTCATGACCGACATTACTGCGTGAGTTCGAAAATTCGAAGATCGAGCGATTCCCACTCAGCTTCCCACCCGTATGTCTCGCGAAGAATGCCGTCTCCTCCGTCAGCGGATTCGCAGGCAGACAGACCAGCCAGTCAGAAAGCAGACCTTATGGCCTGTTGTCACTCCGTCTGTCATCCAGTCGGTTAGTCAGTCAGAAGTCAGTCAATCAGTCAGTCAGTCTTTAGAACAGCGAATCGTTGCGTCCGGTACGTTGGTTCGGCAAAGCACATCCTACAGCTACGACGATGGGTAGACGCTCGAGGGCAGTGGCGCGTTGAGAGTTCAGCCTATCATCATCATTCTTATAAGAGCGCACATCTCTTGGGCCTCGGACAGCAAATCGTCGTTCTATGCGCTCTGTCGCGAAGGGCGGATTGACTCGCTACCTGATCCTCCTCCTTCCCGGACTGCGGCCTCTTACCATTCGTCTTCAACGTTTCTTCGTGGAGACGTCCGGGACCGTTCGCGCCGTTTTTCCCGATTCGGACGCGCAAGACAACCGGCTTGAAGTTGAGAATCATGTTATTCCTCGCCTTATTGGCCGAGAATTTCGGCGAATATCCTCGTCCGGATCTCCATGGAGGCCACAGGGGCTCTCTATTCACCTTATGATCGCCCATGCAAACATCTCGGCCGATCAAATGATATCCCAATTTCTCGGAGACAAGCTTCTCAGCTTGTTCATTGAAGAGAACTCTGTCGCACCAGGCCGGACATCGCGTGCCGCCAAACGAGGCACCCTCAGATCGTTCTTCCGAATACGGATAGCTGGAAATCAAGCATTGGATCGTGAGGATTGTCGCTTTCGAGGGGTGAAATTGCAGCTCCAGATTGAAATCTTCTACGACATCTTCGATTAATCATTCGTGAGGTCACCTTGGCGGAAACTCGATGTCGAACTCATGCAGATCTTGGCTGAAGTACTCCAACTCCTTGTCATGGGAGAGCAGCTGCAAGAGACACGAAATATCCAGGTTATCCAGGTGGGATCCAGGCATCGAAGCCCATCATTTCAAACCATCAGCTGCTGTAGATCCAGTTCCCTCCCGAAGGTCTCCCGGGGGCATCCGGTATGGTGGAGCTAGTCGTTCGCTCTAGGCGTCTCGCGAGAGAAATTCTGCGGGTTCTTCTTGAAATATCTACGCGTATACCCCGTGGTGAAACATGAACGATGGATTACCTTCTTTCGGGTGAGATCACAAATGAAGAAAGTTCGAGTTGTGTCTTCATGGATATTGAAGAGTTTCTTCTCGAGTGTTAAGACCTTCTTCTGGGGTTCATTCCTCGCTTCGTTCCCATCGCCTGAGGGTTCTGAAGACCCCATGACCGGGAGAGCGTTCGAGGCTCCTTCGTGGAATTCCTGGCGTATTATTTCGCCGGAAGAGCTCTTGGTTTCCTGTAGTTTGGTCCCTTCGCTGAGCCACGACACCACGGCACCCAGGTCCAAGCTTGAGGAAGAGAAACTTATATATGAGGAATAAGACGAATCTCCGACTTCGCTCAGGATACAACGTACGCCGCTTATCGGGGAGAGAGCCCCCGGGGGAGGGCGGCTCGCAGGCCCGAAGAGAAAATCAGAACATAGGGATGCGGAACTTGAGATCGCCACTCACCGAAAGTTGAAATCGCCGAAAATGAAAAATGCCACCGGCTCCTTGGTCGTTTCCGCTTCGGAATTATCGTCGCGATCGCTGCCTATTCTCCGCAAAGTGAATTGAAGAGCGTTGCGGCGAGATTCTGTGTACATGGACGGAAATTGCTGCATCGCCATGAAATTCGACTCGTCGTGGAACAGATGGACGTTAACCAACTCGATCGGGGGCTCTTGAGCGTGAATTTGCCACCGAGTCCGCAGGAAGCCTTTCCTCGAAGGTCGATGCATCGGAGTCATATCTTGAGTGAACTTGTATTTATGAACCGTCGGGACTAGATCCAGATCTTCTTCCGCGTAGAAGGCATACTCCGGAACCGGTTCGAAAGCCGCCTTTTTGAAGTTCCAAATGCAGATCTGATCAGCGACTGATTTATGGACGAAATAGAAACTTCCCAAAGCCTGGACGAATGGAATCTCATTAGAAAGTGCGCTCGCGTGAGCCCATCGGATTGGAAGCTCGATCGATGAGCGGAAATTATCTCGAACACCCACCGCCCCTCCACCCCCCTGGCCCTTCACGAAGGTCAAAATCGTTCGTAACTCACAGTGAATTTCGAAGTTTCGAGGACAGGATCTACGAAAGCTATGAAGTTCTCATATCCGAGCCCTTTGAAACCGGAAAAGAGTTTCTGCGTGAAGAGGTTGACTTGATCCATGGCCGATCCGAAAGTTTTCCCGCCGACTTCCTGGCAATGAAGAGCCAGGAACGCAGGATGGCTCTCATCGTTGACCAGGCCCTTGAGAGGAGACAAGTTGTACAGACTAACAACAGTGGAACAGCTCGCGCTGCATCATACGCTCGGCTAGGAATCTGTATCGATTGAGGATATCAAGTTGGGACTCACTTCCACGAAAGCTGCGATCCATATGTCCAGGATCTGCTCGGGCTGAAAACGATACAAGGAGGATGATTTCATGATCCGATTTTCCGAGACAGTATCCTGTCATCGCACGGAGAAACTCGCGCCTCGTCGCATTTCGGCGACGTATCACTCATCCGGGACAGGGATCATGTCTATGAGCTCCTGGGAGAATGTCTATGAGAGCGAGCGAGACAGCCTACTGTGGGAATATAGGAACTAGGCTGTCTTTGTCTGAGCGTTGGGCTCGGTGATGAGCTCGGTTCGAGGGTTCCGATGGAGATGCGGTAAATTATTTCTCAGGCAAGTGTTTTTCTCCCGAGCCGCTGGGAGCGACAGCGAGTTCGCACGTGGCGTCGATGAGGCGTCACGGGTATCCTTATCTTGAGATCAGACATCGGGCAGGAGCAAACAATCCTGACGTTTCGATTTCCCGAACAGAGGTTCATCTCGCTCCTGCGCTCGCGCGGGATCCCGCAAAACTGCTCTACCGTATACGACACACAGATGATAGTTATTGATATCAAAGAAGAATTGATATCATACATAGGTACTTTCTCTGCTCATTGGTATGAGAATTCCACGGTCTCGATGCATAGCGGAACTCACTCTTTCGAAAATGCTCCCCACGTTCGCTGTGACGAGGGTGACTTCAGTGTAGGGAGTCGGCATCTCGTACGATGTGCTTATTATAAAGCTATATTTCGCCCGGTACTCGATGTTGCGAGGTCCGTTAGACCCGACGGCGGTGTGCTCCCAGCACAGATGCGCTGGACGATCGAATCCGGATATCGGACGCTGCTAGTTCGATTCCGGCTCGACTCACTCCTGGTTCAGCACTCGGTACTCGTCGGGAGCGGGCCGTTGATCACGACAGGGGACCTTGAACGCCACCCCTCGTCCGGAAGAAGAGCACATTTTAGCGCGCCCTTTTGAACAACCTGGAACAAGGCGAATCGTTACTTCCAGCCAAAACAACTCGCAACTGGGATGGCGAGTGTCGAAGCGCAGACATTCAATATCCATTGTAGTTGACATTCAGCTTGACGGGTTAGCATCAGAACGTAGTCGACGTGACAGGCAGAGGCCATACGAAAAACTCCGGTCACGATTATCGGTCTTGGACATTGTTGTATTCCTTCTCCGATCCATTGATCAATGATGGCCATCAATAGTCATCAATCGATACAATATCCAGCGATCAACCTTACGGCGCGACCGCTGTATCTCCACGACACAGTCCACCGTCGCGTCGCTCGCGAGCGGCGCGAGAGAGAGAGAGACCGTCCATCGACTCCGTGCTATGAATCAGACGGGAAAGGCTAGACTGCGACACCGGTCCCTCGAATATACACCGCCCGCGGAGACTTCATCGGCAATAGGAACATTTCCCGTCCCCTCGGTAAAGTCAAGCTCTGGGGCGAAAGCGAGCCAGTGCACCCGATCTGAATTCCGCCTCGGGAGCCGATTTCTACCAACCGAGCCCCACGACAAAGATTTCCAGGAGAGGATCGTGAATCGGAATCGCCACTGGAGTACACGGTCGACACTATGCGTTGACTCCACGGTCTTCTTGGGAATTTTTTCGTTTCAGATAAATCTGCTCGGCAGACTTGGGAAAAGACCTTCGATTCAGGAGTCGCCGATTCAGTCGGATCCCGTTTGCGTAGACCGTCGCGGCCGATTGTATCGGGAAACCTCCCACAGGACTAGATTCTTCTTTCCGAACGCAGCGATCTCGAATTCAGTAAAGTTCTTCGGTTCTCTAGGCCCGTCGACGGTTGCGCTGCAGCTCCACACGAGGAGGAGTTCGACGATCCGAGCCGAGAAAGTTTACAGCTGGAGTGAGTTTCGCTGAAAAGTTCACATCAACGACTAAAGCCAGCTAGCCAGCAAGTCAGTGGTGGATTGAATCGTCTAAAGACGTATTTCGTTCCGAGGGATTCCGCGCACCGACAGGGTGAATGTCGAGGGGTTCCGCGCCGATCGACTCATCGAGGGCTTTTAGTCGCCAAGCCAAGCAAGACCGACGAGTATTGTTCTTGAGAGTTCGGCTAATGAATGGCCAGCTCATTCGGGGGTGACAGGTTCAGGTTGACGACACCACGCCTCCGAAAGCGGAATCAAACAGATGCAACGATCCGTTCAAAGCCACTTAGGAAGTTGGCACTAGAGCCAACTAGCAGTATCGTAGACGAGTGTTGGGTACACTGGTTCCCCGAAAGCGATAACGCGGTAATTAACAAGCATTGAACAAGATTAAGAGCAACCGCGTCGTCGCTGAACGAAGGACCATCCGAGCCTCGAACCGTATTTGGTGTAGGCGACGATACTTGTCCCGCAGGCTGGTCTCGCGTCAAAACTCGAAAGCTTGTTCAAAACTCCTCTCGTCAACCTCGGAGACATCTCGCATCCTGCAGGAGATCGGTTGCCGCCCCAGCAGAGTCGCGAGAGCGAATCTCCGGGCGTTGTTATGACGGCCTCGAAAGGACGGAGTCGAGATCGAGTGGGACGCGGGTTTCCGGAGCGATTTCGCGGCTTCCGTTCCTCAAAACCGATCGAACCACGGTGACCGACCGAAGGTGATTGTTTTGCCTGCCCATATACCCCGTGAGTGAGTGGACACAGCCTAGCGCTGAAACACACAACGTGGTGGCTTGACCGCCTTGAATCGCTGTGGTAAGCAGAGGAACAGCGCTTCTTCGAAGCTGGACTGATGCGACCGGTCTTGTCTTCATCGTCGGCGACGACGGCGGCGTGGCGGCGGCGTGGCGGCGGCGACGACGTCGACGATGAAGCTTTCTCACTGCCTGAAGAAAAATGAAAGCCCGGCCGCTCCGTCCAGCGGATCCAGAACGGGTTGGATCGAATAACTCATTACATACATATATGAGCCAGCTCACTCACGACAGCACCCACTTTGTCCGAAAGAGACAGTGGAGCGTTGCAAGGTTCACCACCGCGCATCGCCGTGCCTCGTTGCCCCTGCGAGCGGGGAGCATACCGGAGTCCATCCTCAACCCGGCGCGTTCCGACCAATGAGAAACCCCAGCAAGAGGGCTTGAGCCTCATTCGACCCGATCTTGATTGTCGGCTGATCGATCATCGAATCCTGAGGGCTTCAGGCTGAGGCCACCCCCGAAAGACTTTTCATGCAGATCCGGCTCTGAACAGGAGCTGCAAGAGCTTCGGCTCCTGCGAGCTTCGATAGTCTGCGCGAGCGGCGACCCACATTCGGATCACAGTCAGTGTATGCCACCGAGAAATTATTGACAATGTTCGTTATTGAATGTGCCGAGACCGCAAAGAGTCGAAGGATGGCTTTAGATTTGGACCGTGCTAGTATAAGTGGTCACTGAACGACAGACAGTCAGTCAGTCCGTCAGTCAGTCTGGATGTGCGACAAGACACCTTCATGCGTCAGTGCGCAGTCCACACTTCACCGAGTTTCTTGACGTCACCAATGGTGTCGAGGGTATTTCTGGCCTATCACGTATCGAAGCGAATACGGAGACGCGCACAGCACGAGACTCTCGATGCCTGCTGATTATTATTGTACCTAGTGAATAATAATATGATCATAATACACTGTTCTGGTCACATGAATTTGAAGCACCGAGAGAACGTTTCGATTAAGAGAGAAACAGAATGCCTATCCGTAGTTATGGATTCATGAATCTCCGGTGTACTCGCCGAGCAGGGATCACAGGTATTGGATGGTGAGCTACTTGACATCCAGATCCGAATCAAGCGGACGCTTCTGACTAGCCCTTTCGACTTTCACTCAGCCTACTGACAACTGAGCAGAAATAGAAGATTCTCAGAGCCGATTTCGACGTTCACGACGTGTGGCACCTTTGTTGTCACCACTCTTTTCAGCGCCACACGATTGATTTATGGTCTGTTCAAAGTCGAGGGCTCTTGGGCTCCTGTGACAATGCATGAAATTATTGCCCGCTCGACAATCCGATCCAGACTGGCTGCGTAGGGCAGGGTGCGAAAGGGCCCGGGGTGGACCTGAAGCACCATCCGGGGGTCGCAGGAGACCGTCCGAGCGTACGGACAGACCGCATGACACTGTGCGTAAAGGAGATCCGTTCCCCGCGGAATACCGACGGGCACGCTCAGAACGCAGTCCAGTTCCCGAGAGACGTTCAGCGCGGAATCGAGGCGTCCGACGGATCCTGAACCGATAAGCTCACCCTGAACGTCGGCTGGCGCACGTCACGTGCTGGAAGTCGACCTTGCTCCTACATTCCAAGAAGCGAAATTCGAACGGAGCACGGGCTATCGAATACTGACCGTCATTCCCGTTTGAAAACAATGAGTCCTTACGATGGTTCTCGCCCAGGAAAAAAGTATTTTGCCGTTTTTGGGAGCTGTCCTGTCGAGGAGCGATCGGAGAACTCTAACTCCAATAAATGACAAGCGGGCACCAGGCTCGATCGAGCGCAGAGCTCGCCTGTCATCCCGCCCCCTCTGCATGCAGTGTCTCTTCCTATCCAGTAAAGTAGCGAGCTCGCCACAAGGCCGGGTCAATGCAAACCTTTCTCTAGCTGATCGTGTCGTTGAAGTACTTTCTCTTCTTGGGTTGTCCTGTTGTCGAGCATTGTGGAGGTCTGGACCTCTGCAATGTTCAATCCATCTTCTTGCCGCTCGAGGAGGAGGTGAAGACGTATCGAGTTAAGTATTGTTGAGCACTTCTTGACAACTGGATTCCCTTTGAGCAGTCAGTACATCCTTCGGTCGGTCGGTCGTACAGACCGTTCTTTTATCTACCAGGGAACCTGTTCATCAATCTATCAATCCATCCGTGCGTTGTCCCGTTTGCCGAATTCTTTCTCTCTGGTCACTTCACCAAGTGTAGACGACGACAACAAACGGTAGACCTTGTGCTGCAAATGCTCGCAGACGCTGCACTCCCGAATAACGCACGATCCGAGCACTGCTTCAGGGGCTATCGAAACCCTAAACGAAACTCGCATCAGTGGCGGTCCACCTTCTGGTCTGAACGATCCGCTCCTCGACGACGTTGAGGGGACATCTCATCCCTCTGCAGCAGCAGCAGTAGCAGCAACAGCACCACCATCAGCAGACAGACAGAACGACGGACGACAGACACACGGACAAACTAACACAGCAGCAGCCGTCGCTGGAGAAAACACGGTCATCTGATGAATGCTTTCCGCTCACCCTCTGCTCGCCGCGCTCGCACACGGGAGCCGCCGCCACCGTCGTTCTCGACGGCTTCAATCGAGTTTTCCAACACGCCGGCTCGATCGGAGATCACTCGTTCGAAGCTCGAGTTCTCCGGACGATCGGTCGAGCTGCTGGCGAGAGTGAGTCCGCGACTCCGGACATTTGTTTCGAGCTTCGACTTCGATCTTTCGAAGTCTTCCGCTGTTTCTCCCAGCTGCCCTTTCCCGGAATGCGTTCATCTTGTTCATCTGCTCATTGCGAGAAACTTTTGGCGCCACAGCGATTCACAGCTGATTCGGTTTCTGCCAACTCGGAAGTCCTCTTTGAATGTGAGGAAAACCCTCCGGGGAAAAGCACGACTCGATCGTGATGAGTGGAAGGAGATTCCGGATCTTGTCTGACTCGGAAGATGAGGACACCCAAGGCGACAGCACATCGAGGCAGATACGGGAAGAACCTGGCGGTGAGTGACGTCCATTTCACCTAGCGCGGTTTTCCGTCCCGATTTGTGGATACGACGTGGTGATGTTCGTCTGAACGGATGCTTTCGCTCGTTCCTCTCGAAACACGATCGAGAACCGACGATTCTTCGGGTCAAGTTCACTCAAGCTCATGTTGCAACTAGTGGTTCTCTAAATATCGCGCATCTGTATCCCGGAGAAGGAGTCCGACCTCATCTCTGTTCTAATATGCGCAATTTTGTTCGGTCCTGACAGATGCCGATGCAGAGACTCCGGTGCCTCGGAAGAAAAAACGAGCTCGTATAGTCTCTGACGACTCCTCGGACAGCGGCGATGATGCAGCAAGTGCTGGTGAAGAGGAGAATGACGACAGCGGCAATCCTGCGGACGTAAGCGAGATTCACAAGCTTGAGCGGCTCCTAAAATACATATTTTGATAGAACGAGCTCCGGAGCATGAGTGCTGTCTCCTACGAACTCTCCCATTCCAATCTGTTCACAGAGCTCGATTGCCCATCGCGCACCCCGACCGCATGTCCCCTCCGAAAATGGTGAGTTAGTCGATCTATTCCCTCGCGTGTGATTCTTGCGACACGACGTTCGAGTCCTGATCCTTTCGCCAGAAGCTTCTGGCCGTTCCGTGACTCCCGCGACGATATTTTGAGAATAAGCTTTGGATACCTAAGTCTTTTGCTTGATGCAGAGCGATCCCACGGAGATGAGTCGGACGAGCGTGTGTCGGATGCGGATGAGCAAGATGCACGGCAATCCGGGGAGGATCGCTCAGAAAGGAACGACTCGGACGGCAATCGATCCGGTGCGGAGGTCCGCGACGATGGGAACGAAGCAGACGACCAGCCCGGCTCTCAAAACGGTTCGTGAAAGTTTCTCGCGCATCTATGAGTCGGGGGAATATGTGATTTGATCCGAGTGGCTCCTCGCAGGGAATGCCGCGGACGAGGCCGAGGAGGCTCAGGAAGCACCCGAGCGGAGGATTGTTAAGAAACGCATCGTAAAGAATCCACAGCCGAAATTGGACGCGACTCGGCTCACCGGAGAACGGGGTCTCGGACGGCTAAGGAATTTGCACTCGCAAATACGCATGAAAGGTTGTCAAACATCCATGACTCGATTTTTTCTTCAAAGGACAATGCACGGCTGGTTGGCTTTGACAGTTCACGATGTGAGAATTGACACGTTGAGAAGGACGGACGGGCAAACTCGCTGGATAAGCCGCCGCATTCGGATCGTGTCCTGTGAAACAACAGAGCGTGTATCGTTTCATCGACTCGTGATCTTACGATAGAATCCATCGGCAGGGAAGGGCCACGAACGAGAGGACCTCAAGAGTATCCTCCACTATCTCCAGCTGTGGGGACACAGGATGTTCCCCAAAATGCAAACGAAGGATATTTTCGAGCGTTGCGAACGATTAGGGACTAAAATGCCGGTTCGGATGTATTTGCGGCGGATGAGGAATGGTGAAATCTATGATTTCGTGAAGGTACGGATCACTCTCGAGGTGCTCGGTGAGAGAGGCGCTGTCCAGAGAGGGTGTCTGCGTTTGATTCACTGCAAGGAGCTCGCAGCCGAAACGCCTCGATGGGATAGCTCGAAATTCGGTCAGTTAGAATGCTCCGCGTCAAGCGGATTGTCTCAATAGGCCAAGAGTTGGGTAAAAATTCATTTTCTCGGTAGCCCGTCATTGAGTCAGACGACGACGCAGCAGCACAGGATACCCATGGAGATGGCCAGGAGCAGGAAAATGATGTTGGGGCCCCGGCTAATATCGACGACGAGGAAGAACAACCTCCTATGGAGGAGGGCAGAGATCTTTTCCAAGAGTTGTGGGAGCAGCGACTCGAGCCCAGCCAATCAGCGGCCAAGGACTCGCTACCTGAGAATACGCAGCTAGATGACGCGCAGCTGAACTCGACGGCTGGCGTAAGTACATAGAAGAATTCTAATGAATGATAACGGAGAGATATGATGAGCGAGTCTCGGTGCACTCGTGCCGTTGAAGATTCTAACCTGTAAAATCTCAGTCTGCTCAGGATGACCTCATCGCGAAGATTCAAGCGAAAAAAATGGAAGCACTGAAACGTCGAGAGGAGATCAGAGCAAGACGAGAAGCTCAACGAAGAGAAGAAGAAATGTTGGAAGCTCAAATTGCCCTCGAGAGCGAAGCGGCAGGTACCGCAAGTTCTTGAGCGCTTGCCAATGAGGGATGCGCCCGCGACCAGTCTTCTTGTAAACAATACATGTGTTTGAGAATACAAACAAAATGTTCCAAAATTATCTTCTTTGCTGATATTTCTTCCAATTTTTGTGTCCAGCGCATTCTGCATCCCTCGACCGGCTCCTGGACTCTTGGCAGAAGAAACCCTATGAACAATGATAATGATAAATTATGATGGTACGAAGAAGGCATGCTCGAATCGATCTCCGAAAACATCCGATTTTCAGGCTCGATGTTTCCGTTCGTCATGTCCATATTCATACATCCGTCGGATCAAATTCAAATGTTTTCACGTCAGTGTCATGTTCTTCGAAATTCCGGCGCTCGCGATGGCTCCATTCGCAGCTATCATAGTTCCTCGTATAGTTCGCCTGCCGTTGAGCGCGCCATCTCGGGAAGATATCAAATTCCCCCCTGACAGGAGTCGTCGAAACTTCGAAGTCTCTCCACCGCATACGAGGAAGAGCTCACGGGGACGAAGAGGACACCGGCTATCTAAGCATCGATCATGGATTCCGCAGCGGAAACTGTGCGGAACCGATGCTTCTTTCAGGACCACATAGAGTCGTAGGAACAGGACCAGCGGATCGTTGGATATTCCCCCGTACTGAATTCATTCGCAAGAAAGTTCGCGGTCGCATCGTTCGTCCACGGTTTATTCGTCCAACAAAATATCTATGCCAGCGTACTCGTGTTGCAGGATTTTTTCTGCAACATAGTAGTGGGCGTCATGATGCTGAGATTCACCGATTGGACGCGGGGCTTCCTTCTTCACCCGTCATCGTCTTCATCATAAATTATAATTTACTGCCTGCCATCAACTCCACGTCGACAAAGCTGCTTACGAGGCTTGTGGGCCAAGGAGAGGTTTCTTGTTGAGTTATCAATTTGTCGCGGCGAATGGGGGAATGAGTGAGAGGTTGAAGCCAATCCGTCGCACGTACAATAACGTGAGATGTTCCGTCTGTGAGCATCCGCTCGGTGCAAGAGCCGCATGCTGGGAGATAAGACCGTTCCTGACACTATCTGATCCGATTATCCATTTATGCTTTCTTGGCGGAGGATTTCTTGTAGAACCCAGTGTTGTAATTCGAAGCGTATCCGGTGTTGTAGCTGCCGCCGTAGGATACCACGGGAGCCGAAGCGTAGGATCCGTATGAAACAGCAGGGGCGGCGGAAGCGTACGAAACGAGAGGAGCGGCCGCGGCCAACGGAGTCGCACTGAAGGTTTGGACTCGGCTCGCAACCGGGGCGAAGGCAAGTGACTGCACGGGAGCACCGACTGTGACCGCCCTGGAGACAACTGGTGTGGCAGAGACTGTTTGGAAGGTCGCCGGAGCGGCCGAGAAAGTTCTGATGGCAGGAGCCACAGCGACCGATCGTTGAACGATTGGAGTGGCGACGACAGCTGGAGCAGCGGCGATTACGGGGCGCACAACTTGTTGTACCTGTGAATTTCGAAGACCATCAAGTACGAGGATCGAGCGACGGAAAAACTGGCTTGAACGATGAGCGATATAATAATTGTCTCGAGTCGAATTCTACCGGGGAGCAGCTCCGCTTATCTCACCTGGCGGATGGGGATGTTCACAACCTGAACTTCGGGACCGGTTTGGGTGAATTGGACACGAGTGGGACGCGCGCGCTGAACAACGCGGATGACCTTCTGGGGCTCAGGAGGTGCCTACGATCCGGGGAAGGGCTTGAGTCGATGGGCTCCGACGAGTGTATACGACTGGAGCATTTTTTTCTAAAGTACACTCACTTGAACGCGGATGATCTCCGGCGGAGGAGCGGGGGCTTCATGGATCCGGATGACTTGACGCGGCCGCTTGTACTCTTCGACGCGAATTATCTGTTGAATCAGAGATGACGCTTAGCCCAATGGGAACTCCGAGGATCAGATGATTTCCACGGAAGAGTAAGATGGGCTGAGAATGTAGTCTCCTAGACGGGCTACTAACCTCACGCTCGGATGTCGTGTGGATTTCGTGGACCTTGGGAGCCCGCGCGACAGGAGCAGCGGCTGCGACGGCCGTGGTCGCGACTCCGCTTCCGACCGGCGAACTTATACCGGACGAGTAGCTATATTGGCTTCCCTGCTGAGCGATTTGACCCAAAGCGGGACTGGCGGTTAGTAATCCAAGAGCGAGCACGAAAAGCTTCATTATTGGCACTGAACGGAAAACTCGGGGAGGAACAGAATCACGAGCAACAGCGTCGAGCCACGGCAATAGACTTGGCGTAAGTCGATGACGAGGTCGTACCCACGGATGATCGCCTTTTTATAGAGCGGACACGCGCGGTCGCAAAGAAAGGGAGAAGGATTCACAGGATGTATCTTCAACTTGCCCAACTGTTGAAAAAAAGACAAACAGACAGACACGTACGCGCACACACACACAGTCAGGTAAGCACAGCCGATGCCACCGTTGACACTCTCGTTACGATTCTGCTCACGGAGCCGCCGCCACCGCCATCCACGGTGGTTCATTGGATAGCGTTCGTTCTTCATCGATCGTCGACTGCTCGCCACAGTAAGAGTCCTTCAGAAGGCTGAGAGACACCTGCAAAGGCAAATTCATTCTCCGACGCCCTCCGGATGTCCAAACCCGTTTTTGGACGGTGCCCAGCGATCGCTGCCGCGGAACGGCGAAGGGTGACCAGGATTCGATCTATGGGGAAAGCGGGGGCGGTCGCTCCTGCGAACTTCTCCCAATGAATGCCCTTAGAGACTTTCGGTCCGCGAATCGCTTCCGACACTCGAATGCCCCCGACAGTCCTTTACGCCCCTTTCAAACCTTATACGCTGGCGTTGCATGGAAGCGGTGTCTCTCTCTTGGATCGGAGATTCAGCGAGCGCCTTGTCGACGCAAGAGGGTAGTTGCGGATGATGAAGCCCGTATAGAACTTACGCGGCCGATATTGCCATTGCATTGAAATCAGATTCCAGACGAGGTTTTCGAATGCTGCTCCGAGTTGAAGGTCATCCGTGCGTCTGGAATCTGATGCTCTTCCGGAACCTGTTGTCGCTAGTGAAAAAAAATTATCTGTGGTGTATGCCACGGATGTCGACTCCGATTGCGTATTCCATTGAGTGCTCCCATTTGGACATTCAGCGTCGATGTTCACGCCTCTTCGTCTGTGTTATTTGTTTATTGTCATTTACGGGAAGTTTATTCTTTAATTCCTCTTCCAGAGGATGTTCCATCAGGACACTGTCCTCGGCATCGTATGCTGATCTCGACCCCTCTTCGAATATCTCAGCTTGGCTCGGGATGGTGAGGGCCAGTCTCTCCTCGATCCCTTCCAGCACAGGTTTCTTGTATGGATTCGTACGGAAGGCGTCTTCGTTCGATTGGAAGGTTAAACACTTTTAATGTGTTGAAATGCGACACTGATTGACGCGACCGCCGAATACGCGCCCTAAGCGATGTGCAGTGCAATCGAAGGACCACCGGAGGAGGATCAAGTTCCGAGACGGTCTTCTGCAGGATCCAGATGGAACTTTCAGTACGAAACGTGCGGCGTTCCAGCCGAGGACTACCAGAGAGAAGCGGCGACATTTTTCGACTACGATCGAGACTCCGGACATGTATGAGTGAGTCGACGCGAAAAGTTCTTCTTTTCGGGCGTTGATCGAAATAGAAAACTTTTCAGAGAGACGGAGTCCCTCGACAAACCTGTATACCTCCGAAGAGCCAGGAATATTCCGTCATGAATGAAGCGGCTTGGCGAATCTTCTTCATCTGATGACATTGAAAGAGCGGTGTTAGTAGACTTCTTTGCGGTACACGTTACCATTTTCCGGCGGTTGCAGATTACGTTACTGATAACGGAGTCAACTCACCATGGATATTTGATACTGCGTTCGATTTCACATCCAGCTCTAGCCGCTGATCTTGGTGAAATGCGACGGGTAATATGAGAAATGAGAATAGTCTTCTCCCGGGTACACCGTGGAATGCCGGGTATGGGCGACCTTATTTCCGGACTGACCTTCCTGCTTTCCGATCAGCGGACTCCAAAGTGTAAGGGCCTTGCCGCCGAGAGCCTCGGTATTCGCGAAGGTCTGAGACTTGGCTGCCCCCCAGAGGAATCCCGCAGAAGGGATCTGCATGCCCCGAATAGAAATCATTGTTGACAATAGTTCCCCGGCTCCCGGTCACTGGAATTATCCCGGCTCTAATCGTAGAGGCTCACGTCTCGGAACGGTTCCATGACGCAAACGGGCCTCCACCGAATTCGTTCTCTCTCGGTGTAGGAGTTCAACTTCCCATCAGACGGAACACGCGGGGAGGAGTCTGGACTCATCGAAACCGACCCTGAGTTTCCACTCACCTCGATGGCCTTGTAATGTATCGCCTACAGAAATCCTGCGCCCGGAATTATGCCGACCTATCGCTATCACGAATTTCATACTCTTCGCGCCTCGACGGAAGGCTCGAGCTTCGACCAGATGCAAGGAAATCTCACGATCGCCAAAACCATTCGCTTCGGAGCTCAACAATATTCGGACGACAGCATCGGGTAAGGATCGAGCGCGGCGATCGGATGAGCTCCAGTTTTTCTTTTAATTCTAGACGGGCTCCTGAGCCCAGCCCCAAGAATCTCTGACTCCATCCCATGAGCGGGAGACTCGTGAGGGCAGAGATCGAGTTGTCCATCTGAGCAGTCGATCCTGTCTCACAAAGACGGGTCGCAATCTGTATACGAGCACATCCCTGCTCTGTAGAAACTTCCCGGGTGACCTCGATTGCAGCTAATGAGCTCAAAGATTTCTGGCTTTGGGCGGCGGATATAATCCTGCGAATGAGTTGAATTCCGATCTGGAAAAAGACGGTCCATATGGGGAGGCTTCAGATCGTCTCAGAAATTTCGATGAACCGATCCCGAGGGAAAGTTCGCTAGGGATTTCCCCGAGACAAGAATATGTATTCCTCAGATTCTCGGCCGTCTTCTCTACTATGGCAGCGAACTCTCTTCTCCTTCCTGGCCTTGAAAAGCAACGAGAAGAACCCGACGGCCTCCGATGCGATCCGACAGAAGTCACCGGTTGTCTTATCAGATGGAGGTTATCAATTCCAATGAAAATTCGGGCTTAACAGAAGAAAGTAGGGCCAATTCATACGATCGTCGTGAGATACCAAACAATAACAACAAAATAAACCCTGTCTGAAAAGTCTTGCAGCACAATTAGAATGGAAACTTTGCAATCGTCCCTTGCCTCGCCGCGGGCAATGATCACTTTGCGTGAGGTCGAACTCATGGTCCGTTCCCAATGCCCCGATTACGGGGCCCGCTAGAACGGCGAAGTTTCCGAGCGGCCTCTGGAGCGAAAGAAATCGCTCGTCCGTGTAGTGCGGTAAAGTGAGCTCCTCAGGGACAGCCATGTGACGAAAAACGAGAGAATAGCGAAGACGTTCCCCGAGTCCCCATGACGAAGCATCGAACGATTGAGGATCCCTTGAGGCACGATGTGTATAAATCGTCTCATTCGCCGGCGCCGCACGAGCGAGCAACCGATTCATCGTCGAAGAGACGGTCGCGGAGCGTAGATGCTGCATGAGTCTCCGATACGATTCGAGTTCATGAGGCTCAGGAATCTCGCGTAGCCATCGGACGGAAACGTTCTGAGAGAGTCAAGAACCCAAAACGGAGAAATCGGAATGCCGTCGATGAACTCGGTCTATCATGCACTCAGGTGGGTCAGCGTCGGAGAAAAAATCATAAATCACGAAATATCGTTGATGTGAGTGTGACTGAGGTCGTCAGAATCGGTACCGCGTCATGAGAGGATGTGACATATAAGATCGGATATAGGACGAGTCGGGCTTGATTCATCGGATTTTTTCCTCGATTCAACCGTCTCTTCTTGAGAAATTGGGGAACTCACTCTAAATCGATAATTTTTCAGGGACCGAGTACTCAATTATCACCCTACGATACCTGAACGTCTAAGGGGGTACACATTTGGTGCCCGCATCGATTTCACCATTATTGATCATCGAACGAAAGCCGCGAAGGAGGTCATCACGTCTTGGGAAGCGCAATCAAACTCTAGGTCCAAACTCTGCCAATGATTTCCGCCAGGGACACAAACGAGAATTCCCCTCCATCCCATACCATCTTATTCGTGAATCATAGTGTGCGAACTTCTTAGTGCGCTTGGAATCCGGAAGCTCGAGGGCTCTGCACAAGAAACAACCTCCGAGTTCTGGTCGCTGGCGCTACTTCGCGGCGCTGTCTGCATCTGTTCCCAATCTTCTGACTGATCTAGCAGCGCTAGACTGCAGAGTTTTCTGGAATTCCCTCGGGAGTCGTGGCCTCGAGTTGCTCATACCCTCCATTCCGAAAGCTTCGACCCGTCGGTTCCGTCCAAGTGTTCACCTGACTGATCATTATGGAGTTTTCTTTGCTTTTGACCTCCGACAATTCCTAAACCTCTCCCCTGATTTGTCAACCTCACCTCTCGAGGGAGGGGAGCGCGACCAAAACGGCGTAGCCTCGAAATTTGGGCCGATCATTGCCAAGCGACGACTACACAACGGTCAACCCCTCATGTTCCATATAGGTTGTAATGATTCGATTTATGCACATCGGAGACGAGTCTTTGCTTGTGTGATGCCGGAGATCGATCAATGATCCTGATCGTGACTCCCTCCCGCTTATCTACTTCTACTACTACGCCGTAGAGCCATCCGAGAAGTCGCTGGTCGAGCTCTGTCGCGGAGTGAGCGTCGTACTGATATCAACCATCCAGCGCCCATTGAGCCGCGCAAGTAATCTCGCCTCATACAGGCCGTGCCGTTTCCGGGCTTCCCTGTCAAATAGGTTCATGGAAGACTATAAGTCCCCTTGAAATTCCTTTCTCTCGCAGGAATTTCCACATGACGCGTGATGGAGCAGAATACTTCAGAAGAGGCTCATCACAACATTATAGCTTGAACACTTCAAGCGATGGTTCGGACAACATTACTGACCATGACTAGCGGCAAGGAAGGCCTTTGGGAACGGCCGAGTAGCCAAGAGCAAGGCGACAAGGGCCTTTTTCGTGATTTCGCGGTCCATCGGCTTCATGAGGAGCGTCATCACTCCAAAGCCCGATGCGCTGAGTGGGGAGTCCGGACATCACGCGACATTACTTTCGATTCTCTCGATCAAAAGCTTCCGAAGGATCCGCCGATGAGGCCAAGTATTTCATGGAGGATTCGGCTTCCTGCGCGGAATTCTGCGACGATGTGGAACTTCAGTGATGGTCCGAAGCGTATTTCGCACTCCCTTTACCCCTTCGAGCCCCCCGAAGGAATCCAAGAGGCGATCTCTGCTTGGGGTTGCTGATTATTGCCGAAAGTCTCCACAGCGGACTCCACCCGCGGGAGCATGCCGCCCTTCGATGAGCTCTTGCGATATCCGCCCCGCAATGATCCGGAACTATCGAAGCAATTCTACCGGAGTTAGCTGCCGGATCCGAGGAGGAATGGTCCCTCTCGGGATAACTTGAAGATATCCATGTGATATCTCGAAGACGATTCCGAGACGCAAAGACCGAGACTCCATCGGAGGATCTCGGGAAGTCTTGCCTTCCCAGGACTTTTCGAGACTATGTATATGTGTGTAAATTGGTATCCCGCTACTACCGGAGAGTCCGATGAGGAAGGTCGACGATGAGGTGGCTCTCCAAGACTCAACAGTTTTATTTCCCAGGAAGTACTCGATTTCGCCGCCAGTATCGGAGTCCCACTGGAACATAGGCTGCTCCTCTGCTTCCCTGTCGGAGTTCCAAAGAGGCTCTACTTCGTGTCGGCTGCGTCGCATTTGTCTGATATGCATACATGAATTCCTGGCCCATAATGAAGCTAAAAGTTTGTAATCCGCTATAGGTAACGACATTTCGTTCGCTGGTTCCAGCGAGGGTGAAATTTCCCTCTGCGGAAAAGATGCTCGGGAAATCCCTTAAGGAGGGAGGCCCTGTCTGACGGGCTCTCCGTGCGGGAAACTGCGTGAAATTTCAAGATGCCTCATGGTAAGGACATAATGAGGCTGGACGGAACTTGACGTATAATGAAGATGAACGTATCCCCATGAGGGAACTCGCGAATCAGAAACTCCTCGCTCAGGAAAGTCCGCGCTCGAGGAAGCTTCCCCAGGTGTCTTCCTCTGCAAAATGAGCCTGCAATCCTATTCCGCGATTCTCCCGTGGGGTAAGTCCTCCAAACGCAGGGTACCTGATATACTCCCTAGGGAGGATTCACGCGAACATCTAAATTCCTCTACATTACCATGTAGAGGGGTTTCCTCAGCAGGAACCCCGAGCAAACAACCTGGCCTGGGCAAACTTGAGCGAATTGCGCTGATTGCGGCACATTCATCCAATTAGAGCATATAGATCCTAAGGTTTTTCCTCCAGTCAGCTGTCTTGTAGAACCGGAGGTGGCGTGCGGGAAGCCGGGATTCCAATATAAAGGAAAGGAGGCGACGTCTTCCGGAGCTCTCGTCAGGAACGACAAGGAACGAATCGGAATTCCCGTCTCTTTAATTTAAGGCGAGCAGGGATCGGGAACAATAGCCGCTGGGACAGCCTCACGTGTGGTGTTGTCTCTGAGCCAGTCACTGACTCACCTGAGCTGTTGCAAAGCTCATGGATTCGGCAAGATCTATGATTATCCTCCATCGAGCTCTCGTTTCTGCAGCGGATTAGGGAGGGGTTCGAGATCACAGCATTGATCTCCATACCGCTAACGAAGTGAATCATCGGAGTCTGAACGGGGACAGGCGCCCGGTTTCGCTTAAGCTATCAGTAAAGATCATCAGCAAGCCTGAGTAGTGACTCTCCTTGGCGGATACTATCCGTTCAATAGAATCCTTTTCCCCGCGCGGTTCCCCAAAGGCTCAGATACGGACAACCGTGCGGTGTATTCGAGCATCTGTAGACCATTTGGAAAAACAGTCTGTAGCAGCCTACGACCGTACAGGCCGATCCCCAAGTCCAGCGGCGGCCGGACACAAAATCGCGCCATTTCGTAACCGCCAAATATCAGCTGCGTGTTTACATGCTGGTATCGACAGACCGGGCGCAGATCCATCTTCTGGACCTCCTGAGGATAAGATCCGGACTCTCCTGCTCTTGAGTGTCCCAACCTCGCTTCTCATCGGTTCTTGGTGACCACGGGACTCCGCTGAGTTCTTCCACGGCTAGGAGGGCAGTATTCACACATATGAAGACGATGTTCGTGGTCTCCGACTACCGCCTGAAACGGAAATGAGCTCCACGCAGGTTTCGAGGGTCACGTGGTTTCAGTGAACAGCCAATCAGGACGCTCCTTCGCTCAGAGTCGCAGGCCGCCACTGGACAAAAGTGTAGTGGCTCGGCTGCTCAAGACAAAATCAAGACAAAATGCAAACTTGACTCTCTTTGTGTGAGGTAAAGCGACGTTGCCAGAAGCAAATCGGTAGAGTTGTATGGCGGTCGTCTCGGGTGAGCTTCGGCGACCCGGAGCGTCGCGGCAGACGCGTCGGCCTCTCGCACGAACGGATACTCGGTTGTAGAAGCTGCTTCACGGAAAGCTGTTTGGGCTTCGGCCAATCGGACGCCGTCATTGGTGGGGCGATTCGGCTCCCGAAAGCTTACAACCGGTGCGGTTCGTTCGTCGAGAGTCGTTTGCGAAAGTTCTGAATGCAACGATCCAGAGCGGCTCTTGTTAATTTTGCAGAAGCCGCGAGCAAAGACGACCGAGACCAACGAGTGCGCCCCATTAGTGTCGACAGCACGGACTGTGATCTGGCGTGAAGCGCGGGCGGGATGACGTCCAACGGTGACAACCTAATTGTGGCCACCTCCCTGTTGACCGGCAATCAGGTGTCCGGCATTAGTAAGTTGAGATCCGACTGAAACGTAGGCCACTGTTAGCACTGCAGTCTCGGCCGACAGCGAGTCGACCGCCACCGCTCATAGATGAAACCAAATCAAAGTGGCCTCTCACGGCGATCTCACATCGATCCGCCTCGAGTGAAAATTCTCGTAACGATCCGGAATGCATCCCGTCAAAAGTCTAGCTTTTTGTGACCAACTCGTCGGCTTCATCCGAAGAGGCTGAAAGCAGTGAGCCTAGGCGATATCCGTTTCAAACGCCTCTTTTTTCCCTTCACTTTCGGTGTTATTGCTGTTGTTGTTGTTGTTGTGATCCATGCAAAGAGGTGCGTATACCGTGCGATCAGCTGTAAATAGAGTGAAGTTTGAAAACATCGTATTCCGAGACCGCAACAGTCGATTGTCGGTGACTAGGGGATTTCTGGTTCAGTTCACTAATTCTATGGGTGGGTTTCTTCCTCTCGAGAAGGGAACGGGTTTCGATGTCCTTTCGGCAACCGGTTTTTCATGCGGGAACGCTCCGCTCGTGTGTGACGGTGTTTCATGTGTGAAATATGCTGGAATGATCCTTCAGAGAGATTCCGGACGCTCCCCATCGGATCCGTGAGAAACCAGAAAATCGTTCATCTAATTGATGAATCCAGTCTCTGTCACCTGTTTCCGAGATTGAGAAAGCGCATGAGAGCTCCCCACTTCGTTCCTGTCAGACGCATGTCAACATTTGCTTCATCTGTCGAAGTCATCGGAAGTTGTGAAATCTTCCCCGTCGTCGGAATCCACAATCGGTATCGGAGTTGTGCACCGATCGAGAGGAATTGACCTACGCAAACTCATCCCGAGATGCATCCTGATTCGCAGCTTAAACTCCCGCCAAGGTCGTCTACGCGTGCCACCTCTAGCTCCCCCTGATATTGTTGCGCACGATAGACGTGGCCTCGGTTCTCTCCGGGGATCTAAATTCCGAGCGCGAATCTTGCTTGCTCCGGGGGAGCGAAGCGATTACCTCGTCTGGAGGATTCCCATGCACTCCAGCTTTGGAAATCTAGCCCTAGGCTCTCGATTCGAATGAGTGAATGTTTCGAATGGGGCTGCGCGGATTTTTGACGGAATTTGATACCTTCCAGGCGGAACAACTCGTTACATCACGGTTTCCTCACACGGGACTCCGGTGAAGCAATCTGCTGCAACTCAGAATGTCATTCTCACAGCTCAAAGTCCGCATGGATCCCCCGTCATTCTCCAGAGTCCATCGAAAGGTGGCACTGCCCAGGTATATGGAGTTTCTATGGGGTATCTCGTGGGCTCTCTTCGATTGTCCATGCGAAATTTGATGCAGGGAGACCGTGAAGGAGCACCTCAGGCGGATAACTAATGGGTAAAAAACTTCTTGAAGGTTTTCCACACCTATACCTCCCTGGGCAACGCAACTTCAGGGATCAAGCGTGAACGTGAGTCGGACATCCACGACTCTTATATCGAGGTAAGTCTCCGGGCGACGAGCTTCGCATCTCCTTATCGGGAACCCCGACGACCTCATCGGTCCCCTCATGATCGAGCCGAGAGTTCCTCCGTGGCACATTGAAGACCCTACGGTCGCTTGCAGGTTAAACGCGCGAAAGTCGCACAAACTGCTTCCATACGGAGCTGCGTAACGACCCCGGGGGCTGCCAGCCCGGCAGCTACAGGCAACCGTGGTCTTCGACATTTTTCGATGAAAGTATGCGAGCAAGTTCAGAAGCGAGGAAAAACCACGTACAACGAAGTTGCAGACGAGCTGGTGAATGAGTTTTCTGAGCGTGGGAGCGGAGGTGGTTCCGCAGGCGGTGCCGCAGGCTCTGCGGCGTCTGCGAACGGCGCGGGCTACGATCAGAAGAACATTCGTCGTCGAGTCTACGATGCACTCAACGTTCTCATGGCCATGGGTACGGCTCACAAGAAATTCTCGCAGCTCTGAATTGTCTCGCTCGGAGTCTCCCAACAATTTACGAGCAATTCCGTAACTCTATTCTAGGCATTATAGAGAAGAAACAGAAAGAGATTCTCTGGTTGGGACTCCCCACAAACAGTGCGCAGGAGTGCAAAAAGCTCGAAGCAGAAAAACGAGAACGTCTTTCTCGAATCTCACAGAAGACTCAACAGTTATATGACATACTACTTCAGCATATCGCTTACAAGAGTCTTGTAGAACGTAACAAGGTGAGCATCGATTCACGCATTCACCGACAATCATGAGTCCGGAGCACACCGTGGAAACTCACAGGAGTCGCTCGCGATTGGATGCACTGGAGGAGGAGCCTTTCCGATAATTTCGAATTTCTTCCAGGCCCAAGCCGCTGTCGCACCCCCTCCGCCCAATTCTACGATTGCTCTCCCGTTTATTATAATCAACGCTTCGAAGGAGACTTCTATAGATTGCCAGATCTCTTCAGACAAACGCGATTACCTGTTCAATTTTAACAATTCGTTTGAAATCCACGATGACATTGAGGTTCTCAAGCGCATGGGCTTGGCCATGGACATTGAGAAGGGTGAGGCTACACCAGAGAAAGTGCAGCAAGCCAAGCAGATGCTGCCCAAAGCACTGCAGCCTTTCGTGGAGCGTGAGTAGTCTACCATTCCCATTTCTCCGAGAAAATTCTACCCGATACCGTTTTCGATTTTTTGTTTTTGTGAGCCGACTTTGCCTCTTCCGGAGTATACTTACTAAGCTCAATGGGTTCCCTCCGACAGAGATGGCACGTAGCCGTGATCAGCTGCCTCCAGACATGATGCGACTCACGAAGGCATCGTTGAGCCCGAGTGACGAAGTTGTCATGTCAATTCTTCCCTCACCGTCATCCGGTGAAGATTACTCCGAGGACGATCAGTACGAAAATTGAAACGAGCTGCCAACGGAAGCACATAAGTTTCCGCGGCAAACTCGGCCCGATGTACCACACTATTCTTTAACTGAGATATAACCACGGAATAAAACACTATTAAACATTGAAGAGATATCAGTGTTCTTGACAATGAGACGATTCATTCTTTAGATGACTCCTGGTTGAGGGAGCAAGGGAAAAGGAATGCCGGGTATCATGAGCAAGTTCTCCGCCCCGCTTTACTGATCGAGACTCGCGAATTAGGACCATGTGTATCTCGCTATCTCGTCGTTCCGCTCCGGGGCCGTCCGAGTAAAATATTATATGCGAGCAGACAGAAAGTCCGAGCTGACGGAGAGAATCCCCCGACACTTCCAGACCCATACGCGTCGCATCTGTTTCCAGCGGAGACACCGTTGCCCATTCGACCCTGCGCGGAGGAAAGGGCGGGCACTTCGAGCCGCCCGCCTAAAGACCTCCCACTCACTGACGCCTATGGAATGTGAGAAGCTCACAAAAGCGGAAGAGGAAGCTTTGTCGGTTAGCTCTTCTGTCCGGCACCCATAGGTCCATAACTGAGATAGGACGGCTAGGATGTGGCCCTCTATCGAAGAAAAGCTGTCCGGATGGATTCTTCGGGGAATTCTGTCTTCGATGAGGTTGCCTGGAAGCTCCGGGGCTCCGCGTTTCACAAACCTCGATTTTCGGAACCAACAGCGATTCCGGAATCTCAGTCTCTCACGCGGACGCGACTCCTGGAAGCGAAGAAAATACTGAACCCGGCTCAACCCTTGTCTTAGCACCGCATTACCGCTGACGATTGTCGCAGGCTTGTGGCATGATTGCGACCCGAATTGAATCCCGATCCTTGACCGACTTTTTTCCATGAATCGGATGAGTCTTTGGATGCAATTTCTATGAATTTTATGCTATGTACCTCTTGACCACTCTCTTCTCGTAGTTCGTAGCTTGACCCAACTGGACTCCGAGCGCTCGCGAGAGATGATGTGAGCCGCGAGAGGTGAAGAAAAAAATTCATCCCTTACTGTGATTTTTGTCGCGAGTCAGAAGCAGATCTTTCGGTTTTCTGCCATACGAATACATCAATGACTTAGAGACCGTATCCAGTATTCGGCGCCTCCCTGCACAGCCTTTCCAGATAAGACCCTCTCGAAGCGATGATCTGTGAAGACGAGCAGACCTCCGGCCAGGGAGTCGACCGAGGGGAATTCCGAGTACCTGTACCTATCGGTGTTTCTCATCCGATAAGACAATCTCGGAGCTTCAAAATCTAGGGCATTGCCTCCACCGCCGTGAGCTCCTGCGGGCTCATGACTGATGAGGGAATCAGCATCATCGGTCATCGGGACTTCTGCTTGCAGTTCAGCAGGTACACCGAGCGAGCCTGCGGCTTTCCCGATCACTTACATACGCATGTATGTAAGTGATCGGGACATACGTTCAAGCCTCTGTGGGCTGTGAGCTTTTACATAACATTGTCAGAAGTAGACTGCGGCGAATCCGAGGGGGAGCGATCGCCTCTCCGCTCTGGCCGGTCCTCACCGTTCGCACCTCGCATGATTACGGAAGAGTAGGGAATCAATCAGAGCTCGCTTCCACCTGAAAGAAATCTGCTCGAGATCGATAACAGCCCCGATTCACCTTTCGGAGAGGATTTTTCCGCCAGGTGATCGGAGACTTTCGGACAACCTGTTTGTCAAAAGTGAATTCCAGACTTATCACAGCAGGGGAAACCTCGGTCATCTGACGACCGCTCGGGTGAGCGGGTCCAGCCGCCGCACGAGCGCCGTCCTAAAGACTTCCGAGCGTCGCTGCGAGCTCAATGCGTCCATCCGGAGGGAGTGAGGACTCAACATAAGAGAAGGAAGTCTCGGATTGGTTCGGCTGATCGAAAGCCTGTGTGTCTGCCTGTTCTCTGTCAACCAACGTGAACGGCCGGATCGCGTACATTGAAGTGAGAGCGCAAACTGGAACGGAATTCTGTGGGATCTATCCGCATTTTGCGGAAAACCGATGTGAGCAAAGCCTCAGAAACATTGGATTTGGCCTTTGTTTAGCGCTGACTCTCAGGAGCCGAAGCTCTACCGAGCACATCAGCGACATCAGCTGTACAGAACTATGTGAAGTGTATCATCCCAGTGTAGTGTGAGAAGAAATGGCCTGGCATCGTTGTGAGCAATGCGGGAAGAAATTCGCATTTCAAAAATCGCTCCTGGAACATCAGTCTCAGGCACACCACACGAAGATCCGCTCCGAGGTGAGCTTCGTGACTATATCGCTCATTTTCTGGTAGGAGGGTGTACGCAGCTATCGGGCTCCAGCGGCGCCGTTTGAGCTGGAGAGTCGGGACTGAGATTTCCCTCCGATCCCAATCGATTGCCCGGAATTGTTGCGATGTCGCGGGTGGGGGCGAACATCGCCGCGCCAATTCCGGCAAGCTCGGGGGGAACGGGATCGTTGTTGAGAGTGGTGATTTGACAGCGGATCGGAGGAGAAGGGCAAAAGGCAGGCAGCAGGCGCTGTGGCTTGATAATTCAGCAAGCCATCTCGCGCCGAGTCCACTCCTCCCCTCCCCCCCCCCTAACTTTGATCGAGCAAACCCCCTCCTTACCACCGCAGCCATCCCTGCAGCGGCAGCGGCGGTGGCGGAGATGGTGGTGGTGGTGGTGGCGGCGGCGCGGCAGCAGCAGCAGCGGCGGCGCTCGCTCCGTGTTACGCATATCTAGTACATCCCAAGGAGTAATGGCAACACCGAGTGACGCTATAAACACACGACGAAAGCATGCATTGTCGAAAGATGCAGAGGCCCATTCTTTGAACAGCGTTCAGCCTAATCCAGACACCTTCGCTCGCTCAGATTGTCGTGTCGACTATAAAATCGAACCCTTTACCCAGAGTGAACCCGCGCACCAAGGAATCTATATCGATCGCGTTCTGTCGTGGCGGAAGCTGACGCTCCTCGGCGCCGAGTCAAAATCGGACACTCGGGTTTTCCTCTATTCATGAAGAATCTGATCGGAAGGGCCCGATGGCCAATGAACATTTAACAACGGGTGACCTCGGAGCGGTGCTGTGGAGAGGGCTGCCGCCGACAAGACCCGTTTGCCACCACCAGGGAGTCGGATCGCTTGAGGCGCCCTTTCTCGTTTGCTCTGGCTTATATTTTGAACTCATTGCCAAAAATCAGCCGCCATCCGCTCACCTGAATGGGCTTTGTCATTCGACGGATTTTATCCACCGGATACTTGCGTATATCGCGATAGGCATCCTTCATGGGTCCCGGGCCGATGTCGAAAATTTTCCGGTTGCTCTCCCGCAGCTCGTCTCATTCTCTCAGCTGTTGAATATCCGGATCCGTAGCTCCGCAGTCGCACCTCTGATCGTACCCTCTTTATGGTCGATCTCGCGAATGACAGGAGCAAACGATATGGGATCGAATTCCGTGATTCGATCAGATCAAGAACGGGCGCGCCAGAAATTCTAGCTTCGATGGGGAGAGAGTGTGGATCACGCGGAGAGCTCCGAAAGTTTTCCCTCTTCCCCCCGAAATTCGGAGCGCGCTGGAATCTAATAGTTTTTCGTCGTCACGCTTTTCCAGGTTCTTCGTTGTAAGCAATGTCCTTACGAGGCGGTCGGCAGCACGGCAGATCTTGAGCTCCACGAGCGCTTGCAGCATGCGAATGGAAACTCGCAGAGGAATAAGTGCAATAAGTGTCGGTGAGTATTCCGGTTTTAGTGCGATCGATGTTTCCCCGGCATCAGATATTGGTGCACAGTATCTTCGCTGCCATGTACACTTACCGTGCGAGTGAACTGTTCAGAACTCCCTCTACCAAATGAGTTGATTCTTGAATTCCGTATTCCCGCGGAGATGCCGAAGTTCTTATTAAGGGGGGGGCGCGGTTGGCTTTCCATTCCTGCGAGTCGCACAAAGATTCTTCTCCTCGGAGATCACTGACGCATAACTTTGATATCCGCAGGAAATCCTTCGATTCTCTACCAGCACTCCTTCGGCATAAGGAAATCCTCCATCCCTCAGAAGAAGAGTATGCTCTCCAGTTGAAACCGCGGGCATCGAATTTCCCCAAGGTAATTGATTTCGATGCAGGATGGAATGACTCGCAGCAACTCGAAATCGGATCTAGTCCTTCTCCGTGAAGCTCCTTCGAGTCTATTCCTAGCCCTCAGCTCATTTCCATCTCCCTGTATTATTTTCAGTCAAAGTCAGGTTTGAAATGTAGATTGTGTCACAAACCTTTCCCGACACCGTTCTCTCTGGAGCAGCACCTCGTTAAAAAACATCGAAGCCCAAGTGCCGGCAGTGGGGCGGCCACTTCACCCGACAGTTGTTCGACGAGCGCGACACCGGTACTGACGCGCACCAATTCTCTCCTCGTGCTACACGAATCATATACATTCCAGTTTGACCTCACGAATTCGGTCGGCTTTTTCTGATCTTGTTTCCTCTCCACAGAATTACGCACCGGCGCTCGCTCAAACGGACCCCGAATTCCCCGTCATTTATCGAGTGAAGAACTTCAAGCTCGGGAGATCCCTCGTGATCATTCGAGTCTCGTCACATTGAATTGTGACAGATGAGTCAACATTGAAACTATCCCAAACAAGCACTCAAATATAGAAATTCGCAGTTCGAGCTGACCTGTACAACGACGAGCACTATCCAGATCCTAGGAACGGCTTTCACCCGACTTCAATATCAGCTCCCCGACGGATTCTGCTCTATTGCGCCAGCCAAGCTGTACTTCTCTCATCATCCGACGAATCTATTGGATCATTCTCGGAAACTTCGAGCCAGTCGCTGTGGTGGTCGTTTCTATCCGAGGTCTCCCTTCGAAACGTTGGGTATTTCGCGACCTCCGTGTCTAGAGCGCAACCCGGAGTCCGACTTCAGATGTCGATTCGGACGTTAACTGACGACCTGATTGTGTGCTGATGAGAGAGGAACAGCGATCGGGACACTCTGATCTGAGGGATGCCACGAGATTTTATCGTGGCAGTCATTTTCATTTTTTTTCTATACACCTTTAGCCTCTTCATATATTTATGCACGTATTTCTTCCTTGAGTTGAGGAGATTCTGAAGCAATATACATCGCACCGCCGTAGTTCTTATGCACGTCATCATACACACTTAGTGATCTCCCCCATTCTGAAATGGCAACCTATCTCATCCGACGACTCCGGCCGGGGTCGACGCGAGGATCGGCTCTCGTAATTCGCATACTTGCTGCTCCGGAGTCCTCGATTTCGAATTCTGTGGATCTAGATGGACTACAAGCGAGACGAGTGTCGATTCTCAGAGGGGCGGGGCGGGCTGAGCGGAGGGCAATGCGTCACCATTCTCCTATGAAGATTCCATTTCGATGCGAGATCAAACTGCAGAAGCACTCATGATCACGCAAGTTTACGGTGGTATGAGAGTCCTGCTCCGATAAGGCAGCTGAGCAGCTGCACGACAAGGGTGATCCTTCGTGCGCGTCGTCCCAGGCCGTGAGAAAGTTGACAAGTCGTACTTAAAATCAAACTCATCATCCTCTGGCGGCTCAAATCTCTTTCGCGATCCGCGAAGACGTCTTGAATCTCCGATGGCGTATGATGCTGTCCCAAATCCCAAGAATTTCACGGAGCGGAGAAATCAATATTCTCTCCATGCTGACAAGTGTGCAACAGGCCTCAAGTTACTTAGAAGATTTCATTTGGCAATCAGATGTTGCCGCAGCTCCGAAGTTCCATCGGCTGATTCTCGCTATCTCCCGACACACATGTAGTTCCTGCCGGGAGACGGCTCGTTGAGCGGCCTTAATCAATGCAATCAGCCATTATAAGCTAACCTATCGATCCACCGGAATCAAGTTCGAGTCGGAACGTTTTACGCTTTTTGTAGATGTTGTCAATATATTTATTATTGTACATGAAATACGTAAACATTTTAGAGGTCAGGATAGTGATCGAGTCAAGGAGTAGACTTATCGAGGACGTGTCCAAGTGTCACTTGGCGAGCCTTGTCCAAGCGGGAACATTGATCGAGTTTCATCGCTTGCTAGCCCGCGTCATGCAAGTACTTCTCAATAGGAGGCGCGATGCTCATTTGGGACTTATTGGTAGGTAGCCGCAGTCCGAGCATGGACGTCAACGAGCACCAGCCTGCAATCTTCTCACGATCCGCGCAAGTTGACTTCTCAGACAAGATCATGCGCCCGCAGGTTGGCGATTCGGTCAGTTCTTCGCTGCCCTTGGCCGGCGCTTTATCGCAGAGCTATCCGATGAATTCTCCATTCAAATAGCACAATTTGAGATACGGACTCCGTGACCAGGTCGAGCCGAGACGAACTCGGATCCGCTAGAATCACCAGTCATCGGATTATCACTCAGCCATCAATGTTGTATTTGGCCGTTCAGTATTCCCACTTAAGCTCACAGCTCAAAGCGGTTGACGGAGAAGGTTGAAGGGTGATATAATTTTCGATGGCAGGCTCTTTCTCTCAATGAGCAGCACCAAATGTTTTCTCACCGATATTTCCGGTTGATCAACCATTGTTTTTTTGCAAGTTGGTTTTTTTACAAAATACTTGAAAAACGAACGAAAAAAACTGAGCCAAAGTCCAATCAACTCGGATCGTGGACGCTACGATTCCATTGTGGAGCTGCGCATATGTGAGGGGAGAACTGAGCGATAGAGAACGCCGAAATCTGGAAACTGTTTGGGTAGACAGGTAACTTTCAAGTCCATGGTATCAACGTCCGACCAATGCCGGTGGCCTCGACGCAGTATTTACTGTACATATAGTATATGTTTAATAAAAATACGATCGATGACAGGATTTGTGCTCGCATTTCATGCATCCAAAATTCATGTGGAGCAACAGAAAAGTCTGGAAGATACATCAGCTCGACCGTGGAATAGGAGGACACCAGATATCTATCGAAAGCGACAACTGCCGTGCATGCGACGATCAAAAAAGAGTACCCTCTGCCCAAGATGGATGAGTCCGAAGCGAATAGATGCCATCGAGCGATCTCGTAGGCGCAGGGGCTGCCGAGGATCCGAAATGCTCGAGACCCGCGAGGGAAATTCTCCCGACCCTTCGAGACAATATTCTTCGGGCAGAAACGAGCACATTCCTTCATCCAATCGAAGACATAATATGTACAACGGGATCTCTTTTTGGCGGACCCGGATGCAGAGAGCATTCGATTCTACGGGAACCCCCCCCCTCCCTCCCCTACCATATTGCATCCATACCCAGTCAAGTCGGTGGAGCGGAATCGCATGTCGAAGAAGTTCGCTTGGAGCGACTGAAATCTGTATGGCTCAGGTCAGGGGTGTCAAATCCGTGGCCCTCGGGCCACATGTGGCCCGCGGAGTTTCTTTTTGCGGCCGCCACTATTTCTCCGCATACTCGAGGCCGACCATTTCGAATGAGTGCTTGGAAATTGAATGAGATCGGTGGAATGAATCCCTCCGAACAGACGAGTTTTCCTTCGATCCCCGGAGGGTGGAAAAGCACACCCCACTGGACGATAGGCACATATTCTCCTTTTAGACGGAAGTAAATTTTTAATGTAGCCCGCGGGCACCTGCGGCGCTCGAATGTGGCCCGCCAAAAATTTAAGTCCGACACCCCTGGCTTAGGTCTCGTGGTGCTGCGAGGCATGACGCATGCACATGATCATAAGTAGCAGCGTCGAGCAGAATGTCCGGTGTTGTTTCCAGCCCTTGGTTTCCGTTCGTCTTCTCTCCATCTTCCTGCGCTTGGAGCCCACTGATATCGCTGCCTTCTCATCGCCCAACTTAGTAGTCAAGGAGATAATGAGGCTTTAGCAGTGAGCCAAGAAGCTCTTGGACTTATTTAAAGACGATCAGCTCCGTTTGGGGGTCTATAAGTGACGGCTGAGATTTCACGCTCGACTTTTTCGGAGCGGTCATCATTCACCTATGCTTGGCTGGCGACCTTCGATGTCGAGAACGAGGCTTTCCTTTCTACGTTTTTAGGTTTTCCTACATATATTAGACAGAATTCTTCACATTTTGCCCTGCACCGCCGACTGTTCGGATTGGTATCGGGATGATTGCCGATGCTGTTTTGATTATGTCCACCGAACCGCATTGAGCTTAGGAGCTTCAGGGATCTCCAGCCATTCCGGAGGAGCGAGGTACCGTGGTGCCAAAACCAGCCCGGATGATGTTCCCTGGGAGGAGAGTTCGGCGCCGACTTCGACTCGACTTTACTTACTGAAGGCATGAATTGGTAGGTACCAACGAACCGCTTGCTCCGAGCGCGCCCTAACTTCTTTACGGCATTTAGCAATGATAGATTACGGAAATCGACAAGACGACTGAATACCTAGCGATAATAAAAAGACTTCTTATTCTGAGTGCTCGAGAACGAATGCGGAGGGAACAAGCGGCATAGATCACCGATCTCCCAGCCACGAATTCGGGGATTGGTCTTGCAGGGGCTCCGGATGTCTGATATGCCTAAATCGATCCTCCTCGTATATGAACTTCCTAGCTGGCGTATGCCATTTTTTCGATGTCGATCTGAATGGGACCCTCCTTGGGGCATCACCTTCGTCGGTCGCTTGAGGTATGACGATGTTTTCATTTATCTCATCTTGGTGAGGCAGACTCCACTCCAGCCTAACTCATCCTCAGTTCAGAGAATGGCTCCCGAGCAGCGAACTCCCGTTGGAGAGGAGGTCGTGGAGCTCGAATAGATTTGCTCTGAATATCCGCGCCCCCAGAATCCGGATCATCCGCGGGGTTCCGATACGGAGGACTTCTAAGAATTAGTCTGGAGACGTCTCAGACGAGACAAATCGTGAGATGCGGCCATCCCGCCTCCCTGATGCTTGTTTTGTCTGGGCGTATTGATCGTCCACAGTCAAGACCTTCCTGGACTCTGTACTGGCCGAAGTGCCGCTGTCGGCGGAACTCCGTATGAGGTACGATCAGATGGGGTGTTCCCGAATTTCCAGGTCGATTCGGGAACGGACTGGAGCTGAATGGGAACATCTTTTTCTGTCCCGATCGCTGCAGCCCAGCTCCTCTGGACACATCTTTCCGAAGTTAAGCCTCATTAGTTTTCATTGGTCCTGTCGTCTCCGAGGAAATCGACTGCCTCAAGTGGAGCGCCAAGCCCCGCTAATGACTTTTTCAGAGGAGCTCATTTTGGAGTCGAGCTTAGATCTAATCAAACTTCCCCCG